TATCTCCATATTTTATTATATTATTATTATTATTATTAAACAGTACAACCTTTAGATTTGTCCGCAAACAAAATGAATCGTCTAGGACATTTATTACATGATTTAGTCCTAGCTAGATAGAAGGCTAACACCCTCCTGATATCTAGAGAATGGAGAGATGTCCCCAGGTTGGAAATATGTGGTTTCGGAAAGAAAATGATAGGCAAATGATTTGATTCACATGAAACTCAGAAGACACTTTAGAATAAAACCTGGAGTAGGGTAGTAAGGAAACTCTTTCCTGGTAGAATACCATGAAACGAGAGTCTGCCATTAAGGCCCCAATCTCTCCGACTCTGCGGGCTGATGTAATAGCCACTAAGAAGGTTGTTTTCATGGACGGATTCAGACAGGACCAAGTTGCCATTAGTTCAAAAGGAGCTTTCATGAGACTTTTAAGAACCAAATTAAAGTTTCAAACTGGAGAGTGTTCTTTCATTGGTGGGAAAAGACTACCCAGACATTTCATGAACCTTACAGTTGTAGGGTAAGCAAACAGAGAACCCCTCAATAGTGACATTAAAAGCTATTAGTGCAGCCAAATGAACCTTAAGAGAGCTAAGTGATGGACCTGTTTTCTTTAGTTGCAGCAGGTATTCCAGAACAAGTGGAAGTGAGAAAGAATGAGAACAGCATTCTGGAGTTCACACCAGTAAGTAAACCTTCTGCACTTTTGAAGGTACATATTTCTGGTAGAATCTTTCCTACTATTTAATATTTGTTGTACCTCTGTAGAACAGAGCCACTTTAACCCTGTGAACCAGCAAGGAACCACACCTGGAAGTGGTAAATTCTGGATTCTATACTCAGACTGGGATGGAGCAGATGACAGGCATCATGGGAGAGAAGTTGAGGAGTGACTGGGAGATTTATCACTGGACAAAGACCTAGGTGAAACAGGTAAGGAAACCATGCCTACCTTTACCACATTGGGGTGATTAGGATAACTCTGGTCTTGTCCTTTTTGATTTTGTTCATCATTTTGAGAATCTGAGGCATTGGAGGAAATGCCTTTGTCTAAATGAGGAGGAAGGCATCCCCCAAGGAATTGTGACCTAGACCCCCACTTCCCTTTGAACAGAACAGATGGCAGTTTTTGTTCATTGATATGGCAAAGAGGTCCACTTCTGGAAATTCCCAAGTCTGAAATAGGCCAAGAAACTGGAAATCCAACTCCCATTCATAGTCTTGATTAAAACACCTGCTGAGAGCATCAGCTGTGACATTTTACCTTGCTGGGAGATACACTGCTGAAATTCTTATGCGATGTTTTATGCACCAGTTCTATAACCTTATTCTTTCGGTACAGAGGGAACGGGATCTCGCTCCGCCCTGCTGATTGATATAGAACATGAAGGCCAAGTTGTCTGTAATAACTTGGATAGACCTAGATCTAATAAGAGGAAGAAAATGAAGGCAGGCATTTCTTACTGCTCTGAGTTCCAACAAGTTGATATGGAGAGTGATCTCTTGAGGTGACAATCTGTCCTGTACTGTTAAAGCATCGAGGTCTGATCCCCATCTTAACAGAGATGCATCTGTGGTTATGGATACCGTTTGTGTCAGTTGGAGGAAGGGGACTTCCACCCACACATAGCGATGGACCTTCACCAGTCTAGGGAGCGTTTGACTTGTTGAGGAATTGACACCTGTTTGCTGAGTGAATTGAGCTCAACCTCCCCTGGAAACAATAACCCCTTGGTGTTACTGTAGCTGGGGTTTGTCCAACAGTTTTTGCAGGTTCCAGCAGAGCCTTGTTGATGGGAAGGGCAACTCTGGCTGGTGATGCTGAGTGAAGAATATCTTAACAGTTTATATTGAGATTCGTTGACCTCCTCAAGAGGTATCTGTAGGGAGTCTGCCCGCCCATTTAACGAGGTCTTGAAACTGCTAAAAATCACTGGCCATAGATGGATGGTGAAATATCACCACTTCATCTGGTGAAGGTGATGAGATGACAGTCTCTTGGCCTCTTTGTCCACCCTGGTCTCTTGGTTACCTTGGGTCCTCTAACATTTCCTGCTGTTGCTGGTGAGGAGAAGCTTAAATCTCCTTATCATCCCAATGGGAGATGGCTGGGGTCCTGGAACCCCAATATGGCCATTGAGGACTATAAGAGGGAGAGAATGGTATCCTGGGTTGCTCCTACCAGGAGTGAGGAGGCCCCCAGACATCTTCCCTGTCTCTGACGTATATGGGTACATAGGAGAAACTGATGATACTGAAGGGAGGTCTCCATCATCGTCCTCTTCTTCCTGTAACAGGGGAACTCCAGGGGTGGGGGTGGTACCAGGGATATATAAGGGTCCAGAGGTTCTTAGTGCCAAGAGATGCTCAGTACCTGGCAGCAATGGAAACTGTGGTTTAGCAGACAACGATTAGTCCTTTGGACACCTAAAGTCCTGCAGCACCATGTGGAATTCTGGCACCGATGAACCAGTATGCTTGTCCGTGCACGATAGTATTGGTGGTTTTCAGCACTTCCCAGGCAACTCTGATGTAGATGCAGACTTTCACTGTACTAAAGAGCTCGATGAGGGTGCTGGGAGAGGGGTTAAATCCAGTAATACAATTGTCTGTATTTGCTTTGACCATCTCTGCTATACTGTACTTTACAGTAGGGTAAGCCATATTTACCTACAGAGCTGCAGGATTTCCTGCCGTGTTGCTACCAGAGGTACAGTACCAAGCCTCGAAGGTGAGGTTTCTTAGGCTGTTGACCTGGTCAGAGAGGTCTTTCAAGGTAGGTACACCTAAAGAGGGGAATTAGAACTCCTCCTGTTAGGAACTTTAGAGATCTCTGGGGCATGTACAGAGGGTTTTCCTGATCTGCCTCATGGGGCAAAAGGAGCACTTCATCATTAACAGTTGCAGCTTGATTTCCCAGTTCTTCCATGCCCTGGATTTGAGGGCCAAACAGAAGTTACACTTCTGTGGAACATGAGACTCTTCCAGGCACCGGACGCACTTAGAATCTCCATCACTGACTGGGAGAGCCTCTTCACATGTGAGGCAATGTTTAAATCCCAGTGAACCAGGCATGCCCCTCACAGGGGGTGACTTCCCCAGAGGAAATAAAACAATCCTTTTCATAGCCAGTAACTAATTGCTGCTAACTGACATCTAACTACCTCTAACAAACCAGCTAGGTAAACTAAATAAACTAAGTAGAACAAACACAGCAAGCGGTTGAGGCATACACAATGCAGGCATGATCAGCTCCATCTAATGCTGAGACAGCTAAAAAGGAACTGAAGGCTGTTTCTCCACACAACCTGATATAGCCTCAGTGTGGACCATGAGATTGCCAGCAGCACATGCGTGGGCCAAACAGACACTGCTAATGAAAATGTCCGATCAAAAGGCACATGAGACACATGTGACATTGTATTTAATATGCTTTATGAAAATATGCTTATGAATGTGAATATGATGTAACTCAAATATGCTTTATGCAAAAGCTCTCTTGTAAGGTATCATTAAAAGCTTATAATCTACTGAGTGTGTTCATCCTACCACGAGGTTAGTTAAATAGGGAAGATGCGGCCCTCTTCTAGCAGTTAACTGATTGAACTAACCTCATTATCTCTAGACTGATTCTTGCCTGTATATTTATGCCTGTATATTTATACCTGCCCCTGGAAATTTCCACCACATGCGTCTGACAAAGTGGGTATTCACCCACGAAAGCTTATGCTCCAAAACATCTGTTAGTCTATAAGGTGCCACAGGACTCTTTGTCGCTTTTTACAGATCCAGATTAACACAGCTACCCCTCTGATATTTGTTCTGTCTGTTATTACTTGAAACCACTTAAACCTATTTTTATACTTAATAAAATCACGTTTGTTTATTAATAAACCCAGAATAAGTGATTAATATCTGGGGGAGCAAACTGCTGTGCATATCTCTATCAGTGTTAAAGAGGGCGAACAATTTATGAATTTACCCTATATAAGCTTTATACAGATTAAAATGGATTTATTTGGGGTTCAGGCTCCCAGAAAGGCTGAACATTGGGCGCTGGGAAAGTCCCTGTTAACTGAGAAGCCCCTGGGCTGAGTGAATCTCAGTTTCAGTGAACTACAGAGAGACATGGCCCAACCTCTGGGTCTGTGCTGGTGCTGACTGGAGTGTCTAACTCAGCCACACAGGAGTGGAGGGGCGCCTGTTCTGGCAGGAGGGTTGTTCTCAGTGGTATCCCAGCTCATCGAGTGACAGTCTCGAGGAGAGTCTCTGTGACTGAACACGTCACAGCACACACACACACACGCACACACACACACCCCTACCTGAAGTGAGCATCAATGGGGACACTACATGAAGAAGAATGATGCATCAGGAGGAGCCAATCAAAGATTTGCTCAAAATACTGGACCTAAAGTTTGGACTCTGATGGTCTTCTCAAAGGAAACAGACCTGAAAGGCCTAGGTCTAATACGTAGAATGACATGAATGTTTAAACCCAGGAAAAGATAGCAAGAGCAAACCAGATTAACAAAACTCCAATGGCTGTAAAAGACCACCACTTCCACCTGTAACTAGTAAGTAGACTGTGCCCATTCTATCAGACAGATCTTGCCACAGTTATTTGTGACCTTCATCCATGCTTTACTATTGCAATTCACTATATCTGGGCATGAAGTCAAACAGCCAACAAAAATTCAACTGGTACAAAATGCAGCAGTTCATCCGCTTAGCAATATAGGTCACAATACATCATCCTGATGTTCCATTCTCTACACTAGCTCCACATCAAATACTAAGTTAAATTCAATGTCTCTTCCCTTATGGTTAAAGCTTTTTATATTATTTGCCTTAGTTATCTGAATAATCATGTATCCCTGGGCAGTCAGGACCTCCAACAGCAGCCATGCTCGGCCAGAATTATTAAACGGGGGGGGGGGAAGAGAGCAAATCAGTTCAGGAGACAAAATATCATACATTGGAACTCACTCCCACTAATCACTAAAATTTATGGCCTCAAGAGCTAAATACCAAACCCATTTGTTCATTTTAGCTTTTCCACAGGACTACTCACACATTTATGGGGGTAGAAGCAGGAAAAAGAGGGAGGGACAATGCTACTTTCAAGCTGCTCCTGCAGGCAGAGAAGGAAGAGAGACCAAGGAAGAGCTTTGCTTCAATTTTTTTTCTTTTAGTTAAATGAGAGGTGATGAAGAGGGCCATATAAGCAGATAGATAGATACATGGGAAGCCTAGACACACAGAGAGAAAGGTAATCTCTCAGAACTTGGACCCAGTCTATATAGAGCTTTAAAGAACATAACCAACAATCTGAAATATGCTTAAAACTGAAAATGCAGCAGGTGCAGAGCACGAAGCTTTAGTGTTACATGCTTATAATGGCTTACCCCACTCAGCTGAGACAATACTTTTTCACTACTAACTTCAGTTTCAGTATGTCTTCAGGGGTAGTCCAAGTGGAAGGCACTGCAATTATTCCAGCTTTCATTTTACAGAGGATTGGTCACAACAGCAAGGTCCAAATCAGAGAGAAACAGTCACAGCCACTGGGTCAATTGTAAAAGAAAATGTGTGTCATAGACATTGCCTGAGAATCCAGTAGCAGCAATGTGTGACTGTGAATAGTATGAGCAAAGGTTTGACAAACACTTTCAAAGGAAGACGCACAGAATTCTAACCTTTGATGCTTAGCTATACCTACCAGTATCCCTGCCCAGTTATATGGGTTGGGTCTAAGAGTTCTCTCCCATCCATATTTGTAAGGCACTGGGAAAATAGACATTACAGTACTTGGGCTCCACAAAAAGGAGATGACTCAGTATCTCAAAACTTCTCATGACTCCTACTGGCCATACATTAAACAGGAGGCATAGTAGACAGAATCCTAAGGAACACTTCATACAAGAACTGTTAGATACAGAGAAGGTACTCTCTATCATTTTTGAGCCTTGGAAAAGAAATAATGAGCTAATTGAACTGCCTTTCTATTTAGCCTGGAAGGCTCCACAGGTGAATCAACAAATCTTTGTGACTAACAGTATGAAAGACAAGGCTGACAAGAACATCTGTCAGGGCAAGAGGGGATATTACATCCACAATTTATCAATAAACTTCTTCAAAAATGCGAGGTTTTGAACAGTGTTATGAATAATAAGGTCATTAATATTAAAAAGGTAGCTTTTTGAACAGGGGCTTTACCACTGATATTCAAGGGCAGCTAGCAACCTGGTTTTCCAAAGGAAAACTTTAACTGTCAATTATAAACCCAAATCTGACCCCCAAATCTTTCCCAGGCATGACAGGTGAGGTCCAGAAGTGGTGAAATATAACTCCCCAATATAACAAAGATTTCATGAACAAAAACAGGATGAAATTCAGCCAGAGAAGTTGCAGCATTTTTAGACTCTTGCCCGAAACTGTCCCATAGTGCCATCTAAGTCAGTACAAGTCCAATTGACCTTTCCATCAAAAGAGCTGGAAATTTTCTCATACTGAAATTAAACTCAAGTGTGAAATAGAATTAAGGAAAGCTGGATTTATCATTTGGAACAGTTATAATAGATGAGACTTTGCTGATGTTATGGTAGAGAAAAGGAATCACGTTTACAGTAAGTCTTTGTCATCACTTCAGCATAGGAATGTAAAAATTCGTTATGCTGCAGTCAGTCTGATTCAGAGTGAATCTTTCACCACTGGTACTCTGACCTCTTCCCCTACTCCTCCATCAACTGTACGTCATTCAAAAATCACAGCAATCTGACAGGGAATAAAGAGATAGGGTTCTTTAACTGCTAACCTATCTGTGTTTGTAGATAAAAGGTTGCCATAAATTTTCACTATTCCACTCTACTAGCTTGCAATGGTAAAGTAGCATAATCTATAGCATTTGACCATAAGTGACCTAGTCTCCCTTTAAAGCTTTCTAAACTCTTAAATATGGTCTAAGTGTTTGATTGTAATGTACTGGAATCTTGGATGACACCTTTTGTCATAAATTATTAAATAGAAGCAGAATACTGAGAAAGCAGAAGCAAGGTGAGGTAAACCCAATGATTTGTTGTCTGGATCTTGGATCCTTTTTTACAAACAAACAAAAGCAGAGTATTATAGATTAATACATTAGCAACATGAAGTGTAAAAGCATCAGTTTCTCTGGTCTTGGCTTAGACTGGGAGTATAAAAGTGAATCTGAAAAATAGGTTGTTTTGTTTTGTTTTTTTACACAGATCCTATATTTAGTTGTGTTTGAGAAAATAATAATTAGCTGACAGATTAAAAATCTCTACAAAACAGTGAACTGACACTAACATTTACTGTCATTATTTCTGGATCCCCTATATGCCTTATTTCATTTTTAAAAGATCCACACCTACCTTTACCTCTGCAAGTGGAGTTCTTTGGCACTGTAATAGAGGCTCGGTCTACAGTACAGAGTTAGGTCGATAAAAGGCAGCTTACAGCGATCTATTTCAGTATGCACACTACAGCCTGTCACTGATGTAAGTGCCCTACTACACTGACATAGTAGGTGAGGCGTAGGGCTTATGTCAGTATAGTTAGGGCGATGCAGTGTCTTGCCAATCTCATAGCTGTGCTGGAACCATGAAATTAACAAGAAAGGCTCCAAGTTTCCCTGCTATGAACCCTGCATTTGGCTGGAAGTTCAGGCTGTCACCCCAGGGTGGGTGGGGGGGCTCCAGGTGGAGCCTAGTTGCCCCCCAGGCTCCCAGGCTACCTGCTCCCTGCGGGCTGCTGCTCAGGCTCCCTTCTCCCTGCTGCCTCCTGGGTGCCTGGCTCAGGGCTCCCAGTCAGGCTGTTGCCCAGGCTCCCTACTCCAGCCCAGCTGTCTCCAAGAGGTCAGAGTGCAGCAGCTCTGAACAGAGATAATAGCAGCATGAAATTGACAAGAATGACAGTTTCACTGTTGTTTGTGCTGTGAAATTGAGCTGCAGGGGACTCATGGATGGGGCTGTCACCACAGCCAGATGGTGGGCTCCAGATGTGAGCCCCACGTGGCTGTCAGTGATCTAAAATGCCCCACTTCAGTCGGTGCAAAAACTCCTGGTAAGGACACACTCCACCAGCAGGAGGGTAGTGTGGACACTAGCAGCCGATTGAATTACTGCGGTGAATGTAGGTTGCCCTAAGTTAAATTGACCTAATTTTGTAATATAGACAAGCCCCTAGTTTGTGCTGTACAGGATTGGCAGGTTTGGGACACTGTGCAGGGGATGCATGGGTCATTCATTAAGGATTCCAGGCCTCTTATGGCTCCCTCGATGGTAGCTCTTGGGGCCATTTTGAAATGGAAAGGAGAGGCACTGCATGGAGCCTTGAGTACTACATCCTCTTTGCCAAAACCCATATCAGTGATTCCTTTAATTAGTCTGGAATGGCCTCCTGCAACAGCTCTGCTGTCACTCCATGACCTTGGGCAGGGAGGTTTCTTCTCTCTTTCCCGTATAGATTTCCACAGCAGCCAGCTGAGATTTTAGGCCTGGATAGTAGGAATTGGATATGCTCCATATAAAATGAAGAATATACTCTTAATATTGCCTGGAAGAGGTTTTTTTTAATTCTTTAAGACTGCACTCCTCAATAGCAAAGCAGACAACTGTTTTTTCTGTTTTAAACACTCAGAGCTCCTGAAAGGATTTCTGCATTGAGACTCGCACACTGTTAACAGCAGGCTTCTTTACACTGTGGTGGAGCTACAGTACATTTGCTCTATAAACAAACATACAGCATCTCCCAAGAAGATTAAAGGCATTAACCCAATTCTGCTGTCAGGATCCTCATGCATGGAACACCCATCCTGGACTGATCTGGAGCCAGGTCTCAACTGGAAGGGCTTTGCCAGTATGGGTATATCAGAATGCTATTCTGGCAAAGCACTTCTAGTGTAGACGCAGCTTTTGCCAGCACTTGTCCCCTCAAGTGAAACAAGCTATGCTGGCAACAGCACAGTCTTGCAGGTATAACTGTGTCTTCACTAGCAGCTTTTGCCAGTACAGCTATGTCTGACATAAATCACATCTCATCACATCCCTTACAGAATAGCTATACCAGCAAAATATTGTAGGGCAGACCTGACCTGATACAACTTCTTCAAATCTCTCCTGAAGACCCATGCCAAGACACCTACACAAAGTTCACTAATTGACACTGTCTAGACTGAAGGGTATTCGGTATTGTTGATGTGTATTTATATTCAAAGAAGTTTATATTTTTCATTGCATGTTTTATCACTCTCCACCTACTTTTGTAAGTTGCTTTTCTTTCTTAGTGTGAAATCTTCAAGATAGGGAATTTTGTCCGCATAGCCATGTGGAAGTGCATAGTACAAGGTGAGCACTACCACAATACTGTTGTATATTGTTCTCATAGTCACTGGCTGTTGTTATTAAGAAAGAAAAATATATTTAAATATTACAAATCAAATAATTAGGATCAAAATTACATTTAAATAAAAATATACAAATATACTAAACTTTCTTGCAAATACATCTCAAACATTTTTAGCTCAACAGATTATGCAATTTTATAAGAAAATACAGTCTGATATTTAAAAATTCTAACTTTTTTCATGTAGATACATTTAACAAGATAGTAAACTATAAATAGACAAATAATTAGAGGAACAGTTGAATGTCGCTTATGCATTCTAGAACTAGTGTTAAGATATTTTTACATTTGATTTTGAAAATTAGAAGAAGCATAAAAGTGCATTATACTGTAACTGTCTTTAATTCTGCAAACTTTTTTAGCAAATTACACAAACTTTTTTCAATAAGTTCAGTAAAACAAATCACTAAAAATTCAATATGAAGTTCTCTGATACAAGAACAGACAGAGAACAAGTCCACTCAACATTATAAATGCAACACTAAATCCAATCTGCAGATTTGAAAAATAAAAAAACAAAAGAAGAATGTAGTTTATCTACAAAAAAATAGTGTGTGTGTACAGGGGCATTTATTGGGAAAAAAACAGAACACAAATTACAGAAACATGATAGAAAGCAATGTGGTATATTATCGACTGCAATTATCAAATAATTATTAAAAACAAAGGTAAAGTTCTAAACAGAACTTAAAAAAATCAAAAGTGAACATGGAAATATTCAATTTACACACTTTATCCTCCCTCTGCCAGTCAAACTGAAATGTCAGCAAGTACATAACTCATCTCTCACCAACTTTTATTCATACTGGTTATGCTGAGACATATTTAAATTAATATAGGATCTGATGTTCCAGGATCACATTTTCAAACCAAAAGCCCAGGTGTACAGACCCCAGATATCAAAGAAATGGGTTTTTTACAATATTTAAAATATAGAAAAACAAGTCACAAAATATAACCAGTTGAAGCCAAATAACCCAAATCAGAATAATACTCACCTAAAAAAAAAAAGAATAAAATAAAATACAATAAAAATTATAAGCCCTCAATAATCCTCAACTAACTTCAGGAAAAGGCAGCGAGTAAGATAGACTTGTGCTCTGAATGCTAACAAAACTAGGCTCTGGCAGATCAGGATGGCAAGCTAGTTATAGAGTCCCTTGACCTAACATGGAAAATTCACTAAGAGTCTTTTAAATGAGGGTCTTGGTAGCTTAAGCACCTCTCCTGATGGTAACTGTGGTGGTAACACCTAAAAAAAGAGAGGGTCCCTCACACAGCCAAGTCCCAAACTATTCAGGGACTTAAAGGTCAAAAACAAAATACCTTTAAAACCACCCTTAGAAACAAGCAGGCAGCCAGTGCAGACAGAGGACCAATGTAATAAGCTATCTGCATGAAGTAATGCTTAATATTTTATGTTTTTGTGATTCTTGGCAGTTAAGTGTTTTCTTTAGAACTACAAATAATTAGACAATAGTACAAAAGTATTAAATCTGAGATATGCTACCTTACATATAAAAAAAAAAATCAGGCTCTTGAATTAACCTTTTACAGAGTGCATATTAACTAGGGAAAATCTTGAATCCAGAAAAACGTCTATTGCTCTCATCCCAGCTTCCTCTATTTAGTCTCACAAGCAGGCCAAACAAGCTCAAAAACAAAACAGAATCCAGTTATTTATATATCTGTTAAGTAACAAAAATTGATGAAAAAATATTCATCTTGTTTATGATGATTAAATGATTAATATGATTAAACAATATTTCATGGTAACCCCTTCTCTCCATAGACTTTCATTGTACAAAGAAGCCAGGGCTTTATTGATGTAGCAGATCATTCTCAACACAACAGACTAATACAGTGCAAAAGCTGGCTATAGACAGCTCTGGCTTAAGAGTCTGATCCAACTTCTATTGAAGCCAAAGGAAAGATTCTCATTACTTCAACAGGAATTGGATTGGGCCCTAAACGTATTTGTGCAATACACAACTTAATACACAGGCTTATATTTAACAAAATGAAAATTTACTTCAGAAAAAAAGTGAGTAGAAATACAAACAAACAATCTTACATTACTATGTGAACTAAATCACAAAAAAGCTTACATGTCAAGATATATTTTAAATGGCACTTATCTAAATAAGACAAATTAACAGAAAATACAGAAAGTACAAAAATACCCTCACTATATAGTCATAATTTCAAGCCTTTAAATGTACAGAAAATACATTAAATTCCTCAGGTGTATATATCTTTTAAAGGGGGAAGGTCTAGATGACTCAATAGGTCTTTTCATATTTAATTCTGATGATCCCATGCTAATATTCAAATATTAAACTGATGCAAACAATAGCAATTTAAAACTGTCAGTGTTAAGAAGCGCTATTCATTTTAATTTCTTTTTAACAGTGGCTTACAAATTATTACAAATTACTCTCTGATCTTGGGATTTGTTGAATAGTTTTCATAAATGAACTAAAAATAAATCAGTATTAAAAGGTAGGGTTGCCAGTTCTTTCATGGTCCCAGAAAACGTAGAGGAAGTTGGCAGGATCAGCTCAGCTCCATTGTGGTCCTGAAAAATATAAAATACCAGTGTCCACTGGATCATTGGGTCCTTGGCACTCTGGAACTATTTATGAAAAAGATTTTGGTGATGACTATAATGGTGCTTAACATGGAGTAAAGGGTCTTGTCAGTAGCTATGATCTTTCCTTGCTGCCCCTTTTTTTAGGTTGCATGCCCTTAAGATACATGGTTATTTATAATAAGGTGTACTAGGTGCTTTCCATAATCATAAGCAGACAAGGTCCCAATCTTCAGGGAGTTATCTAAACAGAAAAATACAGTTGAGGAAAAAGTAATGGGATACAACAAAAAAATAAAACAACTAAGCAGTGAAGACAGAAATGTCTCGTTTGTTCTTTTTATTGATTTTTAAATATCACTTGCACTCTCAATTTCACATCTGTACTATTGATACTTAATTGGAGGAAAGGGAAAATTTATAGGCCTCTTGAGCTATGCTTTCCTTAGTGTTTTTTTTTTATTATTATTTTTGTTTAAAAACCTCTCCCACTATTGCATAACGATTGGTGCAACTCCATCAGTGGTAGCAAGAGTGGAAGGAAGCTTAGTGCTATCAAGGCACTAGCTTTTTTACTACTGTGTAGTCTAAACCAGGTCTAGAGAATACCAGAGTAAAAAAACTGAACTGCAGTCTGAGACTATAGCAAGAAATAAACCTCTACACTAATACTCCTACCACTGCAATTACTGCTGAAGCGACACCAGTGGCAGGCAACAGTGAGATATTTCCCCTAAGCTTAGAATAGACAAGGCCTTGTAAGAGTGGGCTTTAAAAAAAATGCCTGATGAAGTAAAGAATGGCGGCATGGTGGACAGTTACAGGAGGACAAGGATATAGTGAATTAAAAATATAGATATAGACAGAGAGAGAGAGATGCATTTAGTAGTACAAGCTATATTGCATTCATACCAAAGTGAATTTTCCAACCAATTCTATGTTTAATATATTTTTTCCAGGATGATACAATCATGTTGTTGGTGAGGATTTCTCTAAAGGAGCGGTCTCTATACTACCTTAGCTTTTCTCCAGCCATGTTAGCATTCCAAAAAAGTTGTGGGATAGAATATAAATTATCACAAAAATATAATCAGTAATTCTAAAGAATAAATTCAGGTTAAATACCATGGTATTTTACACCTTTTCAGCTGCTGTCACCAATGCAACAACAAAACTGCTTGATAACAGGTCTTCAGTACAGAGAAGCACATAGGCAAAAATATTTAGAGGTACTGTTTCAAGAAACCTGGTATTTAATAGTAGTTTTCTAACAAACAGTCCCTTCGCCTTTTATTTACGATCTGCAGTTTATGCAATGGTGGTTAACAAGAATTCATCTAAAGCACTGATTGTTCACAGCAAATATTTCATAAAATCAATATACCATAGAGCTTACATTAAGTCCTTCAGCAACTCTGGCTTACTGAAAATATGTCCAGAGCCCAACAGCTTTTTGTATTTCACCTTATTAACATCAGGATCACATAATTAAAGATGCAAAAGACCTCTTGGATCCATCCCCTTCCAATAAGGCAAAAGGTAGACTGCCAATACAATATGTATCAGATATTTATTTGATATCTTTGTACACGTGATCTTAGATAAAATATAAAAAGACTCTTACTTCACTGTATAATATAGTCTCAACTCAACTCAACAAAACAAACAACCCCCCCCACCAGATCTTTACAGAAGAAAAAAAAATTCTACATTAATTTTGTGCCCATATCTCAACATCACAGGCAAACATAATACTAAGCCAGCTGAATATACAATAAACATAAATCAGATTGGCTGAAGCCAAATCCAAAACTGTGATCTGGTCCTTGTGCAAGGACTGGAAAGTATCTGGATCTCCCTCTCTAAGGATTTCCCCAGTCCACATCTGGAACAGCCAGCTCCAATGCAACTGTCCCCATTAGGTAGCTCCTGGCACTGGGGACAGAGAGATGGTGTGACTGGAACACAGTGCATTTTGAAAAATCCCAGCTGGCAGATAGGCCTTTGGGAGCCATCAGCAGCCTGTCTACCATTATGCTCAGAGACACTGGTAACTGCATTAATCACAAACCTGGATGAGATTAATGGGTGTGAACAAACCCTTCAATTAACAGAACTATAAGGATAAATTAACCACAGGCCTCCACCTAAAACAAAAAGAGTATGTGAACCTCCTGGGAGTTTTGGATTGAGAGGATACAGGGGCTTTGCTGAGTACTCTTTGGGGAAGGGGAAGGGTGTGGGTGTGGCTCTCTCTGTGAAGGATTTGAGAACACAGAGCATCAGACAGCTACACAGATAGCCAGCTGAAAACACAATGTATGACTGTGGAAGAAGCTTGGGGACAGATTTTTAGGTTGGGGTTGCAACTAAAAAGAGTGGTTTTGCTGCTGTGTTTCCTGGTATTTGATTCCTTCCACGTTCAGAGACACGGGACTTTGTATGTTCTTTGTAAATAAATAAAACTGTAAAGAAATACCAATCACCAATGTCTCCTCCTAACTGGAGTTAAATGGGATAACAATTTATTGCAGCCATTATCCTGCTCGAATGTAAGGTGGGCCAAGGCTGGTTCAGAACAAACTTCAGGTTCAGAGAACCACAATGATCTCTTTTGCAGCACCCACTTTCAGTAGTGACCATCTTTGCCTGTCTTTGGAAAACAAATGAACAAAATACCCAGTAAAATGGACTACAAAATACTTTTTCTAATGACTGAAATAGTATCCTTTCAAATAATCTTTATATCACATTTCAGACCAACTCAAACGACCATATTATTACTTAATTTACAAATCTGACAAATACCTATACTTATAATCCTCCGTTTATTAAAAAATCCTTGACATCAAACTTTATATTTAAATTATTTTAATAGTTACGAATATCAGAGCCAAAATACATCTATACTATCGCTCTTCCAAGATTCAAATATATATTTGTATTAAGTTTCACTACTATATGGGAAATACAACATCAATTCTGTCTACCAGATATTTAGCTTACCATATTTTGCATAGCTTCCCTCTTCACAATGCACCCACAGACATTTAGCTTGTAATGATAAAGATATAAATTTCTCAGTATGAAAAATGAGTTCCAAAGCTTTCAATTTCTTTCTGCACATCAGTGTTTAGTAATCATCATGGGAATGCCAGCAGGTAGATAACAGAAATGTTAATTAGGGACTGTAAGCTTAATTCACAATACACTGTGCAAACTCCATGTTTACCAACTGCAAACAGATGCTTTAGCAAAGTATAAAATTATTGTGTAAGACCAATTTAAAGTAAAACTTGCGAAAATGGCTCAAATCTGAAAGTAACAAGACATTATCCAATGTATAAAATAATGCCTTATAACACTGTAGGTCAGACCATAAAAAGAAAAAGGAAAAAAAAAAGATTGAATTGACAGCCTAATTCATGCTACTGAGGAGAAAAAGGGTATACCTGAGTTAGCCTTTGGTTTGATTTTTTTTTTTTTAGTTTTTTGTCAGCATCAGATCCTTAAGATTAAACACAATGGGTGAAATCCTTCCCCATATTAAAATCCATGGCAAAATTGACTTCAGTGGGGCCTGGATTTTGAAAATAAAGTACAAATTATTCTTCATGAATGGTGTCATCAAATGCATACTACTTAAACAAAAGGCATATACATCTCAAGGTAAACAGAAGAGAACAGGTTTTTTTTAAAAAATATTATGCACTCTGCAAATAAAAACAGATTAAGGTCACATGCACAGATGTATAACTAGTTTTTTTTAAAAAGTGTATTATCTAGAAGAGCTATACAGGGTTATCGATGCACAAATTGTTTTTCAACAGTTAAAACTTTTTTCAGACACTTTTGATGACTGGATTGTTCATTCATTGGATTCATTATTCATTGGATTGATTTAATTCAGTTTCCCTTTATGCTGTTTTTCACTGTGGCTTAAGCAAAGCATTGCAGTCTTCTGTGTAACTTAAGGTTACAAGTGACCCCAGCTGCCTACTGCCCTCTCTTTAAATTCACCCATCACTCACTACTGAGGGCTTTCCCGGTCCCACAGTAACCAGGAGAGAACACAAAAATTTTGTTGCAGCAGCAGCGGAAGTTTAGAGATTTATCCCCAAATTTTCCACGAGACACCCTATTTCCCTTTTAATTAGTATCTCCTCACTCTCAGTAAGGAAGATTCTTAGTTGATTCAAGAAGAACAGGAGTACTTGTGGCACCTTAGAGACTAACAAATTTATTAGAGCATAAGCTTTCGTGGACTACAGCCCACTTCTTCGGATGCATAAGTGGGCTGTAGTCCACGAAAGCTTATGCTCTAATAAATTTGTTAGTCTCTAAGGTGCCACAAGTCCTCCTGTTCTTCTTTTTACATGAGAGAATGATGGGCCACCCATCTCATTAGTGGAGGTGAGGTGGTGGCCTTGGGGAGAATAGGGGATAGGTGG